CTCGACCACCTAGTTGTCTCAGGAATAAATCTGTTAGGATTGTGTGTCGACTTTAGGTGCGCAAACTTCTTTTCCTTCCGCAGTGGGGTAGGTTTATAAATTAAAGTCTTTTTATACCAAAAATTTGTTCACTTGCTCAAGGAGACCTTTTGGTTAACACCCGTACCTTCCTTCAGGTAATGGAAGGCATCAAATAAATACTCGCAAGAGCGAGGAATAAATCTAATCTGTTTTTCGTCCAAATCGATGAGTTCTCTTGTCTCAGGTACTACTTCTTCGTACAAAGAACCCACAATGGGTAGACCTCCAAGGATATGTAAGTCCTAAAGAGAGATAGATAGTTCCCCGATTGATGTAAGAAGCGTGTTCGTCTTGGGGCACCAAGACTCACAAAATGCTTGCAAAATGTTTGAGTTCTGATCATAAGTGAAAAGTGAGGCATAGACAGCATCGTAAGTCTTTGTTGTACTCAAGGTTTGTTGGTTTCCACCTTGTACAGCTTCAGCTCATTCCCAATATCCTGGAATATGATGCTACTCGCCCTAGATTGTTGTTGTGTTTCCCCAACGTACTTTGCTTTGAGTTACATGACATCCTAAGTTTGGAAGGGTGCTAGCAATGTTTACGTGGCGATGGATTGGCGCTTGGAGAGACCACATCTTGGACAATGGATTAGAAGTTGATTTATGCTCCAAGGTCCAATTTTCTACATGAAGGGAGTTCCTCAAAGAAGGCCATAAGGCTGCATACCTGCCAGCTTGTGAGGTGTGAGGCAAAAGCTTGGTTTGCTCTATGCCGTCTTCAGTCTCGATTATGAGATATCTAAGTTTGGATGAAGGTGACGTATAGTCTCTGAAATTAGCCATCTCTTCGGGCTGCAAAAAAGAAAAAGAAAAAAAGGTCATCAAAGTCCAAACCAAGAATATTAGAATAGACATAAATGTCTAAATGGATGAAATGGCCTCCGATAGTCAGACCACATTGAGAGTAATCTCTCCGGTAGTCGGGCCACATTGAGAGTAATCTCTCCGATAGTTAGGTCATTTTGAAAGTAATCTCTCCAGTAGTCGACCCACATTGAGAGTAATCTCTCTGGTAGTCGGGTCATTTCGAGAGTTATCTCCCCGGTATTCGGGCCATATTGAGAGTAATCTCTTCGATAGTTGGGTCATATTGAGAGTAATCTCTCTGATAGTTGGGTTATTTTGAGAGTAATCTCTCTGTAGTCGAGCCACATTAAGAGTAATCTCCTCAGTAGTCGGGCCACATTGAGAGTAATCTCTTCAGTAGTCGGGCCACATTGAGAGTAATCTCTCCAGTATTCGAACCATACTAAGAGTAATCTCGCCGATAGTCGGGCCATGAGAGTAATCTCTCCGATATTCGGGCAGGAATGAGTACCCATCCCCTCACACCTTATAATAGTCTTCTTCATGCATGGATTATCTCGTTAAACAAGAATATATCCTTCTTACTTGATCTACAAAAAAAGGGAAAATCACAAGAAAAAAAACACAGAAGAAAAAAAAGTAGAAAAGGAGAAGGAAGAAATCACCTTCGCACTAGGGCTTCCTAATCGTCAAAGGTCAAAGTCGAACTGACTTGAGGATGCCGCTAGTTGATAACGCAATTAGTATGAGAACATAGGGTACATATAATTAACGAAGTACGAGATTGAAGATTTGCTCGGCAATGTGGGATCAACTACAATGGCGTGGCCTAATTATTCTGTTCCCAAGTTGAAGTTGGAGAAGTAAGTTGAGTCCTGGATGGATTCTAAGTAATACTAGTTGAAGACGGCATGAATTTGTCCGTGTTAAAATTGGTATGGATGTGTGTCTTTCATAAGGAATTATCGATGTGATCAACTGTTGTATAGCAAAGTTCCATGTTTGTTTGAGTAATATATATATGTCTAGCACATGAATTGGCATGATTTATGACAAAGTTTCAATTACAAAATAAGGATTCCAGGAAGAATGTGACATGAACTTCAAAATTATAAATGGGTCATTTGTTCTTTTCGAAATAAGTTTGAATTAGAAGGACATTTCAGAAGCAATGTTTAACGAATTACATGACCATAAGTCCGAAAGCTCCGAAATGATTCAGTTTTGCAAGGATTAATGTCTCTTAAGCTATCATTCGGAGGAAATATGTCAAAATAAATTTATACTTCAAGCCTAGTCTTCAAAAATTTAAAATTTGACTAGTGTTGAAGTAGGGGGCATTTGTAGGCATATAAATTTTGTTGAAATTAAATCTGTAAAATAATTCGAACTACATTTTAAATTCAAGATATATTAGTTCAAATAAATCTATTGGGCTAACATAATTGGATTAATTACATAATTCAATATATATGGATTAATAAATAAGTCTTAATCCATTGGACTAGCCCATTAATTGGGCTAAAATGATGAGCCCACTTCGTTAAGCCCAAGATGTCATCTTCCTAGAGGCCCAGTTTGGTGCCACGTGTCAAATGACGTGTCGCGCCAAGTCAAATGAAAAAGACAGTAGGATCATGTCGCGTGTTAAAATGACAAAGTATGCCAAGTCACATTAAAAGACTAATGAAATCGTGCCACGTGTGCAAGTGACATGTTCTGGCCAATCAAATGCGGCATTGTCATACTTCAATTTGATTGGTCGGAAAGAGTTTGTTCTCATCACTACTCTTCCCTCCCACAACTATAAATATGGGTCTTCATAACTCAGAAAAGACACTAGAAGTTATAACAAGAAGCAAAAAAGAGCTCGTGGATCAACCACTGCAAATTCCTCCACAAGCTTCAAGCTTCAAGCAATCAAGTTCAAGTTCAATCGAAGAACAAATCAAGTTCAAGCTCAAAAACGAAGAACAAATCAAGTTCAAGCTTCAAGCAATCAAGTCTAAGTTCAAGCAATCAAGCTCAAGCCGAAGAACAAGATCATCATTCGTGGCAATAACTACATATTCAAGATCAAGCTCAAAGGCCCTTGAATTTATTTTCTATTGGAAAGAAGAATTAGAGGATTCATAGAGATTGTAACACTCAAATATTTGAAATAAAATACTACGATTGTTGCAATACTTTTCGGTCTTGATTTTATTTTCTAGACGCAATTTATTGTCTACAAAATTTCTTAAACATTAAATTTTGATATATTGTCAAGTATATGAAGTGAAGAGTTGAATTAATTCTAAAGGTAGAAGACTTCTAAAATATTGCTTTTGATAATCAAATATGTTTAAATATGACATATTTTTTTAAAAATACTTTCGATGGTACTAAATACAATAAAAATCTGATGAGCAGGGTATGTATACCTAACCTATTTCAACTTTCCACCGAGGATGAAAGGCTTAATAATGAATTGCATAAGTACTAGTCAGATTGCTATACTGGTCAATGGTACAACAACTAAATCTTTTTGTCCTAGTAGGGGTATTAGACAAGGATGCCCTCTCTCCCCCTACATCTTCATCTTATGTATGGAAATAATATCCCAAACAATTTTCAATCGGGTGGATACTTGTATGTGGGATCCAATTCACCTAACTAACAAGGATAGGGGCATATCACACTTATATTTGCCGATTATCTTACCCTTATGGCTAGAGCAGATTTAAAAAATTATAAAATATTTAACAACTGCTTAAAATCCTTTTGTGAGTTATCAGGACAAAAAATCACCCTTCAAAAATAAAAAAATATCTTCTCTAATAATTGTCCTATAACTATGGCCAGAGACATTGCAAATGGCTTTAACATCAAGATTAGCAAATCATTTGGCAAATATATCAATTTTCCAATCTTGGACAAAAGTCCTAAAAGTTAAGTATTATAGACAAAATACGTAGCAAACTATCATCCTGGAAAACAAAGTTTCTAAATATCGCGGGTCGTACCACTCTAGCCCAATCAACTTTGAACAGCATTCCAAACCATGTAATGCAATACACTATAATTCCTACTAAAATTCAAAAACAAATAGACCAAATTCAAAGAAATTTCATTTGGCGCACTACTAATGAAGGGAAAAAGCTCCACCTGATCAACTGGAAAACTATTACAAGCACTAAAAATCTTGGAGGCCTTGGTCTTAATAATGCTAACTCTGAAAACACTGCTTTGCTAAGTGGCTTAACTTCGCGAATTCTTTCTAATCCAACCACGCCATGGGCAAGTATACTAATCAATAAATATAGTAACAGCAGATCAAAGAACCATTCATTCATTTGGAAGGGCATCCTTAAAGGATGGACCATTTGTTCTAAAGCTATTCTATGGCAACCCAGACAAAATTTCACTCTCAACTTATGGGATACTCACTGGATTCCAAAATACCCACCGTTAAGAAACTGTATTGAAGGACCCCTCAATGAGTGTGAGAGAAAACTACAAATAAGAAATATCTACCACAATGGTAATTGGTCATTCTCAAGAATTTCTTTTCAAATGCCTCCTAAAGTGATAAACAATATTAATAGCATTACACAACCCCTTAGCTATGGAAACTATGACAAGCACATATGGAGCCTTAATAACAATGGCCAATTCACTTCCAAAAACTGTTATCAATTAATCAACAACACTATCCCAGCATCACATGATTTCAGCTGGATATGACAGTTACATTGCCCGAACAAAATAAAATTCTTCCTTTGGCAATGCCTCTACAATAGAATTTCTACTCGTTAGTATCTTCAATATATTAGTATTAATATTGATCCTCAATGCACTATATGCCGAATAAATGAAAAAGATATTATACATGTCTTCCTCTTATGCCCTAAAATTGTGAACATCTGGAAATCCTTAGGCATCAACGTCCAAAATATCGTTGGCCATAATCATTGGCTGATCAACCTAAAAGATTTGAACACAGTAACCCTCTCATCAACTATGGAATGGGGTAATCTTCCTCCCTTCCTTATATGGGGAATCTGGACTAACATGAACAAGAATAATATCAACAACACAAACTCCCCCCCCCCCAAAGTAACAACTTTGATGGGTCAAGCTTCTGAATATAATTTCCTAATCACAAAAGGTGGCCCAACTCAACTAAAAATTACTGTTAATATAAGTTGGCATAAACCCACAAAACACTGGTTTAAACTAAACATTGATGGTGCATACAAAATTGACGCACAAAAATCTGGTGTTGGAGACGTAATCAGAAATCACACGGGTAAGTGGATCCTTGGCATCCAAATGCAGCACATAACTACTTCTCCTCTTCCCACGGAGCTACAAGCAATTCACGAAAGGCTACAAATTGCAAACAAATACTACCTCTTTCCGTTGGAAGTGGAGACCGACTCAACTGAAGCAATCATGGCAATACAACAAGATCATTTAGTCCTTTCTAATCTTGTTGTTGCTTGCAGGTCATTAATGCACCACCGGAAGGATCTCCTACTACGACATAAATTCCGGAAAGGCAATCAAGTGGCGCACATGCTTGCAAAGGACGCTGCAAAGGAAAACTACAAACAACTCTCCCTTCAGTATTAAAAAATCCATGCAACACCTCCTCCTTTTGTGATGAATCAACTGTCTTTGGAAGAAAATGAAGCCTATCTTTTTGTAAAAACTTTGTCTACGGATGCATGTATTAGGCTAAGAACCTCAGGCAATCAATGTATTGCAAGTGACAATCCACCAATGTGTGGTAATTTTTCTACCATGTGTTACCAACTGAACGTTATCTAGTTTATAATATATCTATTAGTATTATCAAAAAAAAATATCACCAATATCCAGCTCAATTGATAGGCCTAATTGAATCGACCAACTCTATAGCTATTACATGTTAAAATAGCAGGGGTTTGCCAGTTTTCGGACTAGTAATTGAAAAATAGCCGGTGTTTGCAAAGTCATTAAAAAATAGCCATTATTTTGTTGCATGTATATGAACTTCCAGCATATTATGCTGGAACTCCAGCACACGGAAAATTCCAGCATAATATACTGAAGAGTGGAGCACCTGTATGAACTTCCAGCATATTATGTTGGAACTCCAGCACATTATGAAATTCCAGCATGTTATGCTGGAAGTTCACATGTAAAAAATTCGAACTCCAGCATATTATGCTGGAATGTTTTACGAATTTTAAATAGTATTTTTGTTCAAATTTATCTTTACATGAAAAGTGGCTAATTTTGATTACTTTTGAAACTGTGGCTATTTTTCAATTGCCGCTTGTAAATGTGGAGTACAAAACTGAAATGATGCCTTTTTGGGCATAAAATACGTTTATACAGATTAAAAAAAGTTACATTTCTAACTAAAACGCAATATTATACTGAGTTTTACATTAACGAAAAGTTAGCCATTAAAGTTAAACGCAGTATAATACTGCATTTTATTAAAAAAATTATTTTTTAAGGAAAATGCAGTATAATACTACGTTTAAGGAAAACGCATTACTATACCGCGTTTCCCTATAAAATTGGGCCCACCAATAATAAGAGTTCTGCAGGACTAGAGAGAATATTTATTTTTAGTGTAAAACGTATTATAATACTATGTTTTACACTGAAATGTAGTATTATACTGCATTTTACACTAATTTTTGGATCCACCAATAAGTGTTCTGCGGATAACTGACATAACAATAATTCAAATACATAAAACGTGGTATTATACTGCATTTTACATAAAAAAAAATCTGTACTCCAAGCTCGGACTTGACTTATTTAAAGGCGTTTGATTTTTATGAAAATCCATTCAAAACTTTCTTTCAAACTTCCGTTCATACTTCTCTCTTCTTCTTATCAAGCATTTTCTTATAATGTCTGAAAAGCCAAAAATAAGGGTTTCATTATATTGGGGGGGTGAGGTTATAATAGAGAATAACTCTGTGAGGTATAGCTCACCTCCACAATATCATGTTAAATTGCCACTTACAATGAAGTACGATAAATTGGTATCGTTGTTACGTAAAAAAAATGACTGTGAGGAAACGTTCGGTGAACCTTAAAGTAACCTGTAGATTTCCATATTCAGTGACTCCACAGGGGTTTGCTTATTATTCTGAGTTTAACATCGAAGATGATGAAACTCTTAGAGATTTTTTGCGGATTCTGGATGAATACAGGGAATTTATTGTAATAAAATTATTGGAAATGTACGTCAAGGTTGAAGACGTTCCCAGTAATGAGGGTGTGCATAGTAGGGATAACCCCCAATCATCGGGTGGTTATTCTGGAGCAGTTTTTGCCGGACAGATTACTGATGAAAGAGCTTGCCTTGATTTAAACTTGTCACCACCGGCGAATGAGCAACGACAAAATAATTTTTCGACTTTATATAATCCACAAGACGACTAGTAAACTTCAATTTTTCTACGCTTTAGCGATGTTTATTTTATGTTTTAATTGGATTTGTATTAACACTCTTATTTTTCATAGGGGGTACCGTTCGAATATGAATTTTACAAGTTATGACCCCGCCCCTAGTTAGAATATGCGTAGTTCTGGCGCATTGGACCACGGTGGTCCATCCGGGAGTTATCACCAACAAGAAAATATCCATCATGGAACGTCAACACAGTACGACTTGTAAATAAAGTGATATAGCTATATGTAAAATATTTATCTAGTTGGGTAGCTTATCATTTTGTTCTTTTTGTGCAGTGAAAATGAGCAACTTGATGTTCCTGACCTCACACAGTTGCCCATAGACAACGTACTAACTCGTGATTTGGCAGATGCGCAGAGTCAGGAAGATGATAGTGATTATGACAACAATGCCGATGAGTCTGGAATGACACACCTTTCCATGATGAGGATGATGATGAGGAGGAAGTGGATGTCGAACCTAAGCTGACGAGGGAGCATGCTCCTCCACCTCCTGTTAGATTAAGAGTGTACGAGTCTCACATGCCCTTTCATGAGCGGAATATTCCCTACCTTGATAATTTGCCAAGTATGTCGGACGTGGATGCCCTCATAAGGGATGTGATAAATTTTGGTCAGCGATGTGGGATGAGTCTAGACCAGCGGTGCTTGCAAAGGGCATGTATTTCCCTGATAAAGCTCGCCTAATCAGAGCTGTAAAAATCTACAGCGCAAGAGAGTGCCGTGAGATGACGGTAAAGGAGTCAACTACGGAGGTATACAAAGTTGTATGTCGTAGAGACTTTATGGGTTGTCACTGGATGTTGCGTGCCAGCAAGAAGAAATCAGGTTTGGACAGAGTAATTATCTATAAGTTCCAAGCTTGATATTTGAGGCCCAGTAGCACCAAGCTATCCTTAATTATAATGTGTGTCAATTTCAATAAGTTTAAAATTTTGTTAGTTTAATAAATTAAATAATTAATTATTTAATTGGACAGTGTAATTATCTATGGGTTCCAGGCTCGATATTTGAGTTAATTTGACAACATATATTAATTTGTTAGTTTTGTAAGTTTATTTTATAAATTAAATAATTAATTTTGTAAAGTGTAATTGGATAGAGTTTGTAGTTAGTACATACTTAAACTACAGAGACTCTACGCTAAAAGACTCTATATTTTACTATGATAAAAGGCTCTATATTTTACTACGCTAAAAGGCTCTATATTTTACTACGCTAAAAAACTCTATATTTTACTACGCTAAAAAGCTCTATACTTTAATACGCTAAAAGGCCACTATTCTTTAAGCAGATAAATAATCTAAACTAAATAAAAACAACAAACATATGAACATAACATTCCCAAAATTACTTATAAAACAGTAAAAGATATTTGTGAACAATTTCATTAACAATAAATATTATTTATCAAGTTTTAACTATTTTTTTCCCAAGGCTAATAATTCAATCCGGATAAAAATAACATGCAAATTTAATTATAAACATAACACAAATCAACGTGGAAACACATTCAACAAAACAAATATGCATATGCTCTACGAGTTTCGACATAAACTAAATCGAAATACCTCGATTTAAGTTTTTTGAAATATCGGA